TGAACATTTACACCAGCGTCACCAGCTATTCCTGACCGGCACCGCTGAGGGCCAAACCCGAGAGGGTCTCTCCCCATCCCTGCTATTCTTTGGTGAGTTTATTAAGTGCCTGGGATTAATTGCGGGAGCAATTTTCTGCTGTCAAAATTCCCCATGTCACTGTTCCTCCCCTTCTGCCCTGGCGTGTGAAGCCAGTTTGGGGGATAATTATGCCCCATCTGGAAACCTTTGGGGAAGGTGTGAACCTGCTAGGCAGAAATATGACATATTTAATCAATTATTCCATTCATTAGCCCCGGCCTCAGCACCTTGCCCTGCTAATTTGACAAGAGCACCAGTTAAAGAGGCTTTTTAACCCGCATTCGCTTCTCATCACCCTTAACGCGGAGAGCTGGAGAGCACCGAAGCTGGAAATGACCTGAACCCTGTCCCGCCGGGGACGGCGACACGTCGCAGCCCGAAACCCTTCGCCTTCCCTTCAATGGTCACTAGTAAAGCTCTGCCCCAGCCAGCGAGGAGGCTGGCTCTGCGAAAGCATCTTGTCTGCTGATGCAAACCCAGAAAATCCTTTGGGGTGCTCCAAAAAGTATGAAAAAACCAGTTACCCTTTCCCTTCACACGAAACTCCGTCGCTTGGGCTTTGGCTGTGGGTTGGCACCGGGCTGAAATTTCACTTGTCTTTTCTAAGTTGAGGCTCTTCCCCTCCTGCCCCTCCCCTGCCTCTGCTGCCTTTGCTGGAGCGGTGCAAAATTGCCTCTTTCTGGGTGGAGCAGATAAAAAGGATAACTTGAATTTACTGTGTTGCAAGCGGAGCAGTTAAATAATGGGAAATGTTGGGTTAGATTGGTTTTTTTTTTTTTTTAGATAACCTGGATTTATTGTGCATTTAAATAATGAACAATATTGGTTTGGATTGGGGGTTTTTTAGATACCTCTTTGGAGGTTGATTTTCCCCGAAGGGTGAGCCTTACAAGCCCAACTAAGCTCTGGCCCAGGCTTTCCACACAATTTCCAGGGGACTCTTCCTTGCATAAATGGTCTTTTCCTTTCCTATCGCAGGCTCTTCATTTGAGAAGCTGTTATTTTCCCTTTAGTGAGACCCGTTAAGGGTTTGCAACTTTAACAACATAACAAGGCAGTTAGTAATGGCTAGATGCAGCATTTAAACAAAGACATCACCAAGCGCTGGCCTCTCAGCGGAGAATTTGGTCCAATAAACCTGATTAATTTGTTTTAAAACAATCTCTTGCAGGCACACGTCTCTAAAGGAGAAACTTTATAAACTTTGGGATTCGGACTGAAACGGGCAGCACCTATTTTTACCACCTTAATAGCTGCCACACTGGCAAACCGGGGCCGGGGGGGAGGTTTAATGCGGTGTTTTTCGAGGGATGGGGTGCCCGGCGTGGTACCCTGGTGCTGGCACAGCCTCCTCTTGCTTCCAGCCGTGCCCGGTGCCCACGAAGGCGCTTCCTTCCCCTCACCCTCCTCCATCCCAGGCGCTCGCAGAGCACCCAGCCGCGGCGCCCGCGCGCAGGACGGTCCCTGTGCACATCGGCACCCCCGGGGTGATGCTCTGCCGCCGAGGTCCCGGGGTCCCGCCGGGGCCAGCTCCGCTCCCCCCTCTCTGCCCATCGGGTGGGAGGAATTAAAACCCACGTTCCCCCCCCTGAGCAGCCCGCTCCAGCCTGCTGGCTGCAGCGCCTGTCGACGTGTTTCTCTGGAAAGGGGCTTGGCCAAGGATGGAACCCACAGATTTTCTTGGGTTTGGGGTTTTTTGGGTGGGTTTTTTTTTTTTCTATTCGTTGTCTTTTTT